TTAATGCTTTTGCAACTATGACATAGGACAAATCATATACAAAATGTATACGTCATGTTTTGGTTGAGTTGTGGGTACGCTTAAAGATTTATGTCATTTAAAGTTAAACCTGCAATGCCTATTTGTGTCTACTTGGCAGAGGCACAGCAACACAAAACAATGTTATACATTTTAAAATGTTTTGCTTTGGCACACCCGTCCACCCTGACACAGGGCAACATTTGCACGTTTTTTTCTTGTCATCTGAAGAATTTTAATTACATATTTTTTCGCGTTTTGCTCCATTTTGGTCTCCACCTCCACCATGTTAGCTAGTTGCTAACTGTGTGTTCAGTGGTTGGTTGCTTTACTGAAACAAAGTAAAGCAGCTTCCTGCTGGAAACAACACTGATGAGGGCTGATAGACTGAACTAATACCATAAATTCCACCTTGTAAAAACGAGCCGGGGAATCCACAGTGGCTCAGATACCTTTCACGTCACTTCTTAACATTACATATGGATAGAAAAATATTTAAGGTGCGATGTTTTTGAATATTTATAAATAAATGAAGATTAGGGACAATTTTAGAAAACTGAAGTTCCTTCATTACAATTATTTTTTATAAAAATACTGTAAGGACAAACCTTCCATGAATTTCTGGTTTTAAAAACAAGTCAGGAAAAAGGAATATCCTTAGTGGAAGGTTAGGCATGTATGATGAAGTTAAATATTGGCCAAGGATGGTAGAAGGTACAACCAAAGTCAGTTATTATCCTTTCATGTAGACTAGAGAGTGTGTATACAACATTGCCAATTGTGAGCATATGCAAAATCTCTAACTGACAAATCCTTTGACGCAATGAATGAAATGCCCTCAGGGCACCAAACTATGATTGAAGTTGAGTGTTAAACCTCTGGCATCGAGGAGTGGACACATCACCCGGTTACAGTGAGACGGTTTACAGCTCTGTGGAGACAAGAGGGGTGTCAGTGTCACCATAATAAACCAAAAAAAGGATCTGGATCTCATTAGGCCTTTAGCCTGCCAGTGTTGGAATGAACACATCCAGACTGCAGCCACACTCGCCCGACAAAGCCTTCAGCTCTGAGACGCAGCAGAGCCATGAGAAATAAACCCAATCACCAATGGAGTGCTCGAACCACACAGAGAGACCCCTGCAGAAAAAAATAACACTCTGAAGACAGATGTAGAAAGAAAATAATTGCAGTCTCTTCATCCAAGGTGTTATCTGCTGTTATCACTGTAATTGGAGCAATAGGGGGTCATTTCCTGCGAGAAAGGAGCTAATTGTGATGACTCATCGCTCCTCGCTGCAGCAACGGCTCAACTGTCGTCAGAAGAAGACCAGACCGCTTGTACCCCCTTTCCCACAATTCCCCCCTTCTCCCTCCTTCCCTCGACTTTCACTCTGAGCTCATTCCTCAACTCATCCCTCCTTCTGAAACCACCCATGGCCTGTGAGCACTTCAAAAGAACAGAGATCCTCATAACTCACCCTCAGTGGCCCCCAAAACCGTGGCAAGTCGGCTGGAAAATCCAAACAAACAATGCGCTGATGAGTGGGTGGACTGTCTTAGGTCATGCGATGTAACCCCATGAGCCCATCAAGTGATCCAATACTGGAAAGTAAACATCAACACTTCAGAGGGGCTATATGAAATGTAGAGAATGAAGGATAGAGTCAAAGAGGAGAGGCCACAGTTGGCTGCTGCTGAGCATTTTATGTGTGTGACAGAAAAAAAGATACATTTGCAAGCAGTGAGGAATGTTTTCTTATCGTCACAGAGCAGGCCTGGCTAGTCAGATCTTTGGGAACTTATCAGTGGATTAGGACCGACGGAGTGGTGATAGATGCATGAGGTGCAGCAGTGTGATAGCCTTAGAAAGACCCCAGCCTGAAGTGTTTAGGTGATGAGGAAGAGGAATAGAAGAACTTGGCAGGAAGGGAACATTAAGATGGTGTTTTTAAGAGCAATATGCCTTGTCTTTTAGGTAATCAAAACCTCAGCCATTCTGAGTGTCTGGGATATTTTTAAGTTTAATCGTGACAGGTTCATGTGAAAAATTCACCTTTAAAAAGTTAGGAAAATGATGCCGTAAGATTTATCTTTCAACACGCTGTAGGTGGTCCTGAGTTTCAGACTCTTTGACCAACTGTGTCTCTCCCTCACAGGCTGAGAAATATTGAGGCCATAAAAAATATAACACTACAGCTAAAACGTGTACCCTCCAGCGCTAAAGAAGCCATCATAACATCACTCAACCAGTAGAACAGAATCAGCAGGAATTCTGTGGTTGACCAAAAATAAACCCCTTGCACCACAAACAGGTCCTGTTGGGCAAAAGACTGGTCCATCAAGGGCAACATCACATTCACAACCAAGAGGTTAGCATCATAGCGTTTGTGTTTGGCCAAAAACATATGTAAAGAATACCAGAGAGGGAAATCCTTGTAAAGTGTATTTCCATTGTTTGCTGCCCAAAAATAGGGAAATAATGAAGACATAAATATGGGGTAAACATTTGAGTGAGGAATGAAACAAAACAGGAAAAATGTGATAAGGAGAGAGACTAAACATAACAGGAAACAGACAAGACTGGGTAACACATGAACGATCAACAAGGATAGATGAAAGAGGACAGCATTTCCTTCCTGTTCTGAGTTGTGTTAGGCCTGTACGTCTGTTAAACTACTCATCCTCAGTGACAGACCCCCTGTTTCTCTCTCAGGCTTTGATGCGAGCTTCACCCAGACAGGATATTACTCTTTAATGATCTCCTGATAGGCTTTCCCTCCTAGACGCAGCGGTGCAGACAGCAGGAAGTGTGGGTGAAACATGTAACAATTAGACACTCAAACAGAGCTGTGGAAAAACTTCGTCCACCAACGTCAAGTCCTTTACCTGCCTCCCACGCATGCACTGAGGCAAATATAATATAATAAATAAATAGGCTGTAGTCGTTATTTGTGATAGGGAAGTCAATGTTTCTATTTCAGTAAACCATTCAGACTGATCCCATTCCTGAATACATTTACGTAAGTACTGTACTTAAGTTATTGTATACACCTTATACTAGATAACATCTCAGAGGTAAGTATTGTTGGTAGTATTGTATGTTGCATATCAACTAATAAATCAATACGTCAATACATTATGATGATATATTATTATAGGATGAGCAACTTAGAAGTTAAAAAAGCATTACAATTTAGCATCATCTTTACTAGCTGTATCAATAATGTGATGAACATAAATAAAGTAATTAATAATCCAATGATTTATTTTCATTTTGCATAATAATTTTTTTTGTTAATTATAAAATATGCAAATACCTTTTTAAAAAAAAACGTAATTAGACATTTCAATGCATGCCTTTACTTGTAACATAATACTTCTACACTGTGGTATTGCGACCAATTTATAAAATAATCTCAGAACTTCACCACTGCTGTTTTGAATTAAATTCCAACCTTTTTAGTAAATTGGCCTGGGTGATTTTTTGAAAGTTTTATCTGTCAATTCACTAAAGTGTGTTAGTATCGCAGCAGTAATCTTAACTGATGTTTTCAGCAGCATAAAAGCATGCACTTGACTCTGTCAGACATTTAAAAAAGAAAGAAGAATTCTGACTGTAGAACATGTGAGAAAGAGAGACTGACATATAGCAGAGGTGTGAAGAGGAAGAAAAAAAGAAATACTTTTTTTGTATTGTGCCAGAGGACCTTTCAGCTAAACCAGGTAATCCCAACACAAACAGGTTTAGTTGAAGGACACCGCTGTTTGAATAGTCAGACACTGAAGTGTAATATATCAGGTGTGCAGCCGGATAAAGACCAGGATTTATAACTGTCAAACACTGTGGGTATGAAAAATAACAGTGAATGCAATGTTACTGCTGTTTAACATGTGTCATGGATCAGTGAGTCTGTGTGAACTAAATGTCATCATACCAAGAACAGACAGGCTTTGAAAACATACAACAAACCAATTAAAGATTTATTTGAGGCTTATAGCGTCCCTCTCACCTCTCCCATGCTTGGTTTGGTCCTGGTTAACCTTCTGCACACCCTGCAGGGGAGTTTTTCGCAGGTGAGACACTGAAACATGTTAAAGCACGCTGTGATCTCCTTATAGGCTGTGGGATGAAATCACTAAGCATGGGAATTGGATTCTCTTCCATATTATCAGAAGATCGTGAGAGCAATAATTCTAAACGTTAAGGAACTTGAGAAAAACAAAAGCTTATTGTCTACTGAATTGGCCCCTGAGTTTCTGATGAATTATAAAAACTGGTTCTTCAAGCACAAAAGCACCCCAACACCTGAAATTAACAGCACTTCCTCGTAATATGATATTTTACGCAATGTTCTCAATGCAGATTTTATTGCAGTATTTTAAAATGTGTCCTGCTCAAATACAGCTGACAATAGAGACAGCTGTATGTAGCTAACACATTGTATATTGCATGAAGATATCATGTATAGTTCATGGAACATTTGAGGAAGGGGCTTGTGTAAGCAAAGTAAAGGCTCCTCTTGCTGTCATCATGTTACAAAATTAGGTGAGTCTTCATGATTATATCAGAGACATGTGGTTTGCGTCACTCATCTCGGTTCGTAGATCAATTAGACTTTATGACCTTTGAAATATGACGAAGTCTAGGTTGTGGTCGGTTACCACTAATAATGCTTACGGGCCTCAATGAGATCCTAATGAAATCATTGATCCAGCTCATCTGCCAGTGTCATCAAGAAGAGATTGTGTAATGTGCAGCCAGGAGAAACAGTGTGTGTGTGGTGTGTGTGTGGGTGTGTGTGTGTGTGTGTGTGTGTGTGTGTGTGTGTGTGTGTGTGTGTGTGTGTGGTGTGTGTGTGTGTGTGGGTGTGTGTGTGGTTGTGGTGGAGAGAGAGAGAGAGAGAGAGAGCTCCCTCTCCCTCTACTCTTGCTAGTGAGTTTGGGTTAGGACCAACCCCTTTAGCTGGTGCATGTTCAAACTTCACTCCCGCTGCCTTGTCAGTTTGACTGTGAGTCTCTTGGTGACTGTGTTTGGATTCTCCACACCGAGAAGCAGATGATCTGCAGGATAAGGGCAACCCTGAATCAATTTCAAGGTAATTTTATTTGGGATTCTTATTTTATTCTGAAACAAGATGTGATAGAAGGTGTTGTTGTTATTCCACATCTGTTTAAGGTCACTTTTATATGGTTGTATTTCAGTGGTGTAAAATGTACATTCAACCCAGAATGTTAGGAAATCATAATATTAGAGGATTGTTTATGATTTGTTTTAATAAGAACATTTTACTATACTGTTTAAATTGATCTAATTTAAGCCTAAACTTTCAAATAATATCTTAAAGGAGATTGTACTATAAGCTATATGCAAAAGTCACAAAAAATATATATTATTTAGTTTTCAAATGTTTTAATTACAAACTAATTTTGTGATCCTAAATTCAAATGCTGATAATTGTGCTAATACCATAGATATTTACAAATTCACTCACATCTCATCATGGATAATTGATATTCAGATACTGTTATTCATACATATTTGTTATTCTTGGTCTTGACTCATTATGTACTATCAAAGGACGCGACACTCAGCTGTTCGAGCCAACACGGTCAAGTTATACTTTCCAGAATTCTTTATAACACATTGAATGAATTAAAGTCTCCAGACCGTTTGTTAAATGCTAACATATGACTCAAGAAGTGGGGAAAAAGTTCCGTCGCACGACAGAGATTTAAAGGAATGCAACCCTAATCACCCCTGATTGTTTTCAACATTAACAATGCAGGCAAAATTAATTCAACCACAACCTTCAGTATATTTTATGATAATAGTTTGCAAATGTAATAAACTTGGGCATGCAGCTTTGCATGTGTGGGGAGACTTCAAACACACTTCAGCTACAGCGTGGAAGTGGAATGGTGATGCTGGGGGAGAGCTTGGCATGTGGGCCAAATGAAGTGCACATGTTGTGATGGTTCTTGTCTAGCAACCTTACACTGACTGACAACACTTTTTTAAACACATGTGGAAAGAACTTCATGTTTGTTTGACATTAAATGATCCCTCTGCCCTTTCAGCCTTTTGTGTCACATTCATGAGGTCATATTTAAAGTTCTCCACAATCTTACCTAGACTTCAAGATTCAAGGGTTGTATTTTCATATGCACAGTAGCTACAGTGTAGTTATGGATATGAAAATCCATAGGACCATAAGACAAAATAAAAATAGTGTTTTATGTTTTACTAAAGTGTCCTAGGAAGTCTGCATTCTACTGATCGACCAACTATCTACGTGTTTGCATGTTTATGTCATGGTGAGACATAGAAAGTTTCAATATTTACATCACCAGCCTACACCTTGCATTTATGGGGAATTGTGACTCATGTATTTTTTTTCAATGCAAGTAGATAGCAATAAACTATGAATGTTTACTTACTTTAATTTTAAAGTGTTTAGGTTTGTTCTTAAGGATTATGGTTTCCACTATGTGCTTGCTTTTATTCTTTCCATCACATTTGTAATGCTTCTTTCTCGTCCTCCTGCAGTGTCTGGACCCTCTAACCAGGACAAACAGAGCTCTATAGCACCGTCTTCTGGCAGAAAGGAAAAACCATCTCAATCATTCTGGTGGATTACACTGTATCAACTCCATGTAATCCCTCCCTTTATCGACGGAGCTCAGACATTTTTTGTGTATCTTTTTTGTACTTGAACACATTCTTCACAGCTTTTGCTGCCAAAGTATGTCAGCAAAAATGACTTCATAGCCACAGACTGCAGCATAGAAGAAAAAAGATAGAAAAAGCATGGAGGATTCAAGTACCCCCTCGACACTCATATTCCACACCTCCCCTACCCCCTCCTCTCCCGGCTACTTGCAGTTCTTCTGGGAGTACCAGGACAATTCAGTGCTTGTGGATCATTACAACTACACAGGCAAGCTGCAGAAAGACCGTTACCGTGAAGGACTCAAACCCGAGGGCATTGCGTTCCTGGTCGTATGTCTCCTCATCGTCCTGGAGAACGCCGTGGTTCTCATCGCCATTTGGAGGAACAAGAAGTTCCACCTGCCCATGTATTACCTACTGGGCAACCTGACTCTGTCTGATCTGCTGGCTGGGATTACATACATGGCCAACATCATCATGTCTGGACCTAACACTTTGAAACTGACACCGTTGCTATGGTTCCTCAGGGAGGGAGGGGTCTTCATCACTCTGGCTGCCTCTGTAATTAGTCTGCTGGCCATTGCAATTGAACGGCATGTTACCATGGTGACAATGAGGCCCTACCATGGGGCAAAGCGGGGACGGATGTTGGCACTGATTGGTGCGAGTTGGGCCCTGGCAGGGTTTTTAGGAGTCCTCCCAATTTTGGGGTGGAACTGCATCCACAGACTGGACCAGTGTTCAACAGTCCTTCCGCTTTATGACAGGAGCTACATCCTCTTCTGCGTGTCTGTGTTCATCGCAGTGCTCTTGGCTATTGTGGTCCTTTATGTCAGAGTTTTCCGCATCGTCCGCACCAACACACAGCGCCAGCGGCTGGGCCTGTCAGGCAGCATGAGGAAAGGCTTAGCGAGGAAGTCTGAGAAGTACATCGCCCTTCTCAAGACAGTCACCATCGTACTGGGTGTCTTCATCGCCTGTTGGCTGCCCCTCTTCGTCCTCCTCCTCCTGGATTTCTTCTGCCCCACCCGCAGTTGTCGAATGCTCTACAAGGCTGATTACTTCCTGGGAGTAGCTATGGTCAACTCGCTCCTCAACCCCATCATCTATACTCTGACCAGTAAGGACATGAGGAGAGCCATTCTGAGGCTGCTCTGCCGGCCCTGTCTGATGACCAGAGACGGCCAGGTGAAGAAGATTGGGATGCCATTCCTTGAGTGTAGTTTCAGTAAAACTGAAGTGGCATCCCAGAAGTTAGAGGGGGGATTGGAGACAACTATTTCCTCTGGGAACAATATCACCACCCCATCTCCTATTAAGACCCTTTATCCAAAACTCTTCAAGTCATGAGGAGTAAGACTAACTGAGTCCATAAGTGTGTGAATGGGTGTCCCACTGAACAGAGGACATGTAGTGCATCTATAAAGAGGAACCAGTTCTGGTATTTTCCAAAGAAGCATTGGGAGGGAGGAAATACCATGGAAGCACGAGAAAATCATGTTCAAACAACAGTCAGAAGTGATGCAGAACTTAAATGCAAGGTGTTTGCGAAACAAAGTGCCTTAAGGATGCCAATCAAATGTGAACAAGCAAACATACTTTGTTATGAATAGAAGCTGTGACTAATTTGCACTAACACATGGATAGTACAGCCTTAGATTTATTCTGTAAACCCAGAGACCTCATGACAGTAAAATCCTTTCCTGATGAATGGTAAACAAGTTGGGTTGGATATACTTCTTTCTACAGTTGTTTTTATTTAAGTGACTTTAATACAGCAAAACAAGTCTAATATGTGCAGTCTGTAATCTGTGCATCTGCCAAACAACTGGATTTTGCTGGTTCGAAGGCCTGTGGTGTGCTAGATTTGTTCAGATAAAATGGTGGTGTAGCAACCCTCAACATGTTACATGATGCAGGGAGAAATAAATGGTTCAAAAAGATAACAGGAAAGAGAGAAGTGGTGTTACTCTTAACGGTTCCTTGTGCTCTGATAAAAATGATGTTGCTACAGTTGTAGGGCGTAACATTAAATCCCCCCCACTGTTTTGATATGCACAGATGGTTAACCTATCTTGATGCCAAGTGGAAAGTCTGTTGTGGGGTTTAGTGTTCCCAATTTGTTAAATGTCTGGCATCTGGAGGAGAAAAACAAGAATATTTTCTTTTTCCATCATGACAATTTGAAAGTTTAACTGAAACCTAATCAGCTGTAATTGCAACATGTGTAAGTATAAGCCTTCTAAATTATATAAAAAGAAAACTCCTTAAAAAAGTTGCAGATGAAATAAAGATACTGATTAGGCTGTCTTTTTAAACAGACACTTTCTTGTCGGACCTTACTTAATGAATAAGGCAGGTGTGTTTTTGTACCTTTAATTCATGTATTGAACTTTTATATTTCTGCGACTTTTCATATCATCTGTAATTGTAATATATCTATTTTGTGCCAAGAAAACCTCTCCTTTCTTTTCAGAAAAGAAATAAAATGTGTTTTTTAAAGAATTCCTGAGTTTTTGGTTTGTTTTTACTGTGTGCACTGTATATGTGTCTGTGTGTGATTCTTTGTGTGGAGCTGAAGTTGAGTTTTTGAAGAAGTACCACAGGAAGTCAGCCCCTATAGTCTGACATCTGGTAATGGCATTGGCCTAGATACAACCCTCCTTTTATCAGCTTTGCATGTCTCCGGACGTCACAAGAATCACACAATGTGCCTTTTATTTAATCTCAGGGAACTCAATTTGTTCTCCTTTTTCTGTCAATTGTGGATAGAATTGGCCATCGCCTCACTCTGACCTGCAGTCCACACTCATTCTAGCTGAAACTGAGACGGCTCATTCAGCTATCATTATTGCTCCCTGGGAGCTGTACCTGCTGTAGACAGGACATGAACAAATATCCCACTTAAGTTTGAGTATTAATGAGATCAAAATTACATTAAAATGGTATAGAGCGGTAAAACGTCAAGATAAATATAAACTTGCATTTGGGCTTGTGTCCTGGATCTTATTAATGTCTGGAAGTCCGAATATGACAACATGTGAAATTAAAGTTATCGGTTGTTTTTCTTGTAAAGCAGTGCTTCTCAAAGTGTGGTCCGCGGACCACTGGTGGTCCGTGAGCGCCCCCTAGTGGTCCGTGAGTATATTGGTAAAATGTCACATTTGAAATAAATAAATTTAAGTTTTTCGCACTCTCGCGGGAATTTCTCCGCAATGGAACGAGCTAAGTTTAACTTTTGATTGCATGATATAGCCCAGATAAGCACCTTCATCACACATGTTGCCACTTGTTTGTACAATTTCCAGGCGATTTGTAAAAAAACGACTGTGTTTTTGGATATTTGTGGAGTTAGGTGGTCCGTTGAGTGTTTTTTTATGGTTAAGTGGTCCTGGGTATGAAAAAGTTGAGAAAACACTGGTGTAAAGTGTATCTAAGTTGCTGGAGTATTGACTGCTTCTAGACCTCTTTGAAATAATAAGTTATTAATATTGCAAAACCCACAATGTTGCATGGCTGGGTAATATAGGTTCTGCAAACATGCATGTGCAGTTATCTATTTAGGGAAATATGCTACTTTTCACACCTACCTTCTTCCTGCGAGAAGACAACTCAACTTCTTGTAAAGCGAAGTCTATACTTCCTGACACACATAAATACATATATATAGTTGCATTACTTTTGATTAACTATCAGGTTAAAAGGTTACCATGATGTGCACTGGTGATACTGTGATATCATTTGTATAATGTGCAGATGTTCTTTCCAGATGTTGGATGTTTCCACCAGCACTGTGCTGCTGACAGAGGTCAACGTGTCAGGGAATCTCTCCTGGGCCCCAGCTCCCTCCCTGCTGATGAACTCATGCAACAAAGCTGACAGGTACAAGTCATAAGTCATCAATCATTATCACCAAGGACGAGATTGTAATAACAGATGTACACATGCTCTACTGCTCCCTGCTCCAGCTGAGTTTGGAAAAATCAGAATAGTAACGCTTGTAGTAAATCTGATAAATAGAAAAATATACATGTAAAAGAAAAGGAAAAAAAGGACCCCTGCAAGTACAGCTTTAATCTTGGATACATGAGGACGCGGACGTCCACCAATCAAACTTTATTTATCAAGAACCTTTTGGATAAATCAAATGAACACACTAAAGTGTTTTTAAAAGGGGACATATAATAAGATTATACAGTAACAAGTACATAATAAAGATAATATAGGTAATATGTATACAAAATAAATAAAACTATAGAGTTTCAAAACAAATAAATAAAATCCAAACTAAAAGATGCATGACTTTTGATTATATCTTTTTTTTAGATGACTGAAACCAGTACTTGCATGAGATTTGTGTCCAGTTTTGTGCCCCAAGGCCAACTTCACCTTAATAATCTTCACGTATACAACGGGAAGGCAGTTATCATCTCTCAGCTGCAAACACATCAAGGATTTCTCATGAATGTTTATGCTTTATCATCATCCATTCCACTGACCCGCGGGGAGCAGCTATTAATCTCAGCATTACTCATTTGGTTAACCAGCTGTGAATTTTGCCTATAGGGGCTCAAGAAGGGCTCAACATTTTGTATTACAGTAAATTACAGCGGAACCTCACTTGTGCATGATTACAAATAATTTCTGAACAATATAGTTTAAGAAATATGAAGTGGGGTCTTTGTGCTTGCAGTGACTCAGTATGCTTGTGGTGCCACTTGTGACCGCTTGCCAGAATAGAAGTATGCTGTTTGTCCATATTGACCTGAATTACATGTATTTTGTAAGAGGGGGAAATGTACTGGTGTCAGCACCTGCCTGGAGCTGGAGCATGTTCCTGTCAAGCTAGCATTGTTCTGTAAAGCCATTCACAAACAACGCCATTGTCAGGAGGAAGATTAACTTAACAAGCAAGGTGAGCTATACAAAGAGGGAGCATTTGGGTTATTTGGTCATTAGTGGCCAATGCCATTATATCCATGTTTCTTGAGCAAACAGTGTGTTTTTATATTATGCAAAGTTACAAAAAAACAAGAAGATTCAAATAGGCCTTGTGAGTTGTTTTTGAATGTCAATTAAGTTGAATTAATAGTGAATTTGCTTTACATAGGACCTCAGCCACAACGCAGACTCTATGCATTACATTAATGCACACAATGTACAACAATATCTGTTATATTTATTTGTATTCCATATTTTATTCCTTCTTATTCCATTCTCATTGTTATATTTTACTATATTTTGTATTATTTTAATATGCTTCTAGTTCTCTACCTGTGTTTTTTAATTCTTGTTTTACTTTTATGTAGGCTATGCACCACGACACCAAGTCAAATTCCTCGTAGGCCTACGTGTATAACCTACCTGGTAATAAACCTGTTTCTGATTTATATTTACATTAATGCTATTAAGTTGTTGTCCATAATAAACATAACAAATGTCATTGTCTCATGCAGTTGCTATATATATTATTTCTAAAAGCGAAATATGACTGAAGTTGAAGCTTGAGATTTGGCACCATGCCAACACTTTTTTTCTTCATTTTGAGAAGTCCTTCTAAATAAAAGCCTCCCTCCCTCGGGACGTTTTTCACTCCATTACCCGTCAACGGAGGCAGGTTTAGTGCCTCAGAGGCGGGCTCTTATTGTGAAAGCGAGAGGAGGCCGGCACAATGCTTAGTCATGGTGAGTTACAGCTTTCCCCCCTCCTTCCTATGTGGCGCACAGCTCGGCAGGACCGCGATGGAGGAATAGAAGTAGACAACGTGAGTTTATTTTATTACTGATTAAACTATCAGATTTGATTTATAAGAACTATAATGTGGGGTAGGATTTAGTTGCAAGCCAGCTGTAGCAACATGTGTATACAGCGCTTTGTTAGCATTTTTGTGCTCACGATTCACAGCTCTTACCGCTGCTGTCTATTATTAGGATCCTATTTTGCTGTCAGCTCTATTTCAGAAATGTTAAAACTTGTTATATTGGGGTCTCCGGTTGTTTATCTTAAAAACAATGAGTACACTTTTCGTCGCTGACCAAACAGTGGATTTAATCGAATCTTCTTCATGTGTATGCTCCTTATTTTCGGTTTATACGAGCGCTGTGGATTATCTTTCTTATCAAAACAACCGCAGAAACGACCATGGTCGGATCGGTGTAAACGGTGCTTTGTGTGAAAGCTCTTAATGTTTGGAAGCATAGCGCGGAAATCTAATTCCTCCTTGATTTATGTAAGGCTGCTCTTCTGGGTCCTGTTTTGGTACAGCCAGTTCCACTGTTTGCTCTGTGATCAAATTTACGTAACAATTTCACCAGGAGACTATGCTCCAATTCAAACACTGAGTAAGTGCATTGAACAAATCAATGACTGGATGTGGCAGAACTTTCTCCAATTAAACAAAGATAAAACTGAGGTAATGGTTTTTGGAGCCAAGGCAGAACGTATAAAAGTTAGCGCTGAGCTTCAGTCTGCAATGTTCAAAACAACAGATAAAGCCAGAAATCTAGGTGTAGTCATGGACTCTGACCTGAGTTTCAACAGTCACATTAAAACAGTTACTAAATCAACCTACTATCACCTAAAGAATATATCTAGGATTAAAAGACTAATGTCACAGCAGGATTTGGAAAAACTTGTCCATGCTTTTATCTTCAGTAGACTCGACTACTGCAATGGT